GAGCAGCAGCCCATAAGTTCAGCAGGCAGAAGCTCATTGTATGACAGGCAGATATTAAAGCAAAAATGCTGGGTTTGATTATGATTACAGTTTTCAGCAAAAAAAGCTCTAAAAGTTACATTATCTTAACTTTTTATGACAGTTTTCTACCGCGATATATACCGTTACCGTGAAGGGATTCAATTTATACCGTGATATGAATTTGAGGTCATACCGCCCAGCCCTATTTTAAATCATTGTTACTTACCGGTATATATTTTTCCTGTATATAATTTAGCTATTTTACATGATTGTTAAATTAAAATAACAATTAGGAATTATATTAATTTATTGTAAAAATATTACAGATAATTTGTGATGCAGATCCAGTTGGGCTGGGAGCTGACACCCTGTATGATCGCCATTTTTGCTCCTACATGTTGACACAGATGCTAACAGTGGACGGTGTAGGCGAGTCTCACTCTAGTGATATTTAGGTCTGTGGCTACAACCTGCCATTCAGTGCAGAATATAGTCATTAAGTAATTACTGAATTAGRCATTAGCTCAAGCTTATCAAAGTATTCAATTTCTCCAAACTGATGTTGTTCAAAGAGCCATCCACAACAGGTAAGATATTATTTAAACTTTCCACAGAACCTTACTTCAAAAGATCTGAACTATCCCTTTAACTGTTGGGATCATGACCTCATTCTGCTCCAAACAGACGTGACAAAGACCAAAAGACAAGCTCAGAATCAGAACAAATTTAGCGTCTGCAGTGAATGATTTGATCTCTGGTCATGATGCTCCATCCGTCATGTTCTGTTCTCCTCCTCTGCCTGCTCTTCATCATCTACCTGCTCTTCATCATCTACCTCAGCCTGTGGCATAGCTTCCTGTGGACATGGTTCTGTTTTTATACCTGTAATCCACTGGATGCTGAGTCAGCATGACATCGTTTTCTGTTGTTTATGTTTTCTGTATGTTTTTACAGTCTACTTCTGTGGACTTTGTTCTATTTTAACCGTTCTTATACCAAAACCTTTGGCTCATTCAGCAGACAGCTGCTGTGACTTTTGGTTTTTAATACTTTTATATGTTTTCAAATTAGTTCTCCATAAAAATACAATGAGAATTCTGCAATGGTTTAAATATTTTCTTTAAAATGTGCTTCTAAAAGCTGCTCCAGTTTGATATTTTTGTGCTATTAGCTCTCCTTTTGGTACTAACAAAATTTTACCTTAAGGTACTTTTAGTTTTGATCCGTTTTTTTACTTCCATTTTCAGCTAGCCATAAGCTACATTTAGTAACTTTCTTGGTACATTTAGCCGCTTGATAGCCTTTGATACGTTGTTTTTTTAGCTAATCCTTGGGTTCTTGTCGATTTTAGCTAGCATTTTATACTTCCAAGTTTTATTTAGCATTCCAGTTTTTTTATCTTTCAGTCATTTGCTGCTTTTTGATTTCCATTTGCAGTTCCTTGCTAGCATTGTTGTACTGTTGGTGCTTAGGTAAACCTTTTTTTAGCTTTAATTTAGCTTTTTTTGTTACTTTTACCTTCCAGCTAGCCTTTTGCAGATTTTAGTTTTCCTTCTGATACTTTTAATTGTTAATTAGCCTTGTGCTAGTTTATTTTTTAACAATATGTTTGCCACTTTCAGTTACCATTTTGCTCATTTAACTTCATCAAGACAGTTTCTGCTTCTTTACGAAAATCGTTCAGCAGTCACATAGAAAATGGAAAAAAATATTTCTTGTAAGATTAGTGTATATATATATATA